CGTACTTAGTAGTAGTTAGTAGCGTCACCTACCTACTATAACCCAACCTATTATAATATAATATATATATATATATATATATATATATATATATATAGATGACTTAGGGAAGTGTGCGCCCTCAGCCGTAGGATAAAATCTACGGATGCACAATGATTGACTTGAGGTTCCCTCTCACTCCTGCGATTTGAATTTTGCAAAATATCTCTCTCTCTCATTGTAATAGTATAGTACTTGCAATTTGTTCTGTTTCTAATTGAGTATGGTCCCCGCTTTGCTCTTTGCCATGAAATATCAATTAGATGATGGTACGGGCAGTATTCGCTCACAGTCAGTGCATTAAAATTCGGATAGGTAGGATAAAACATTCACTCGTAAATTTGTCTCCGATAGTTGGATTAGCTATTTTAATCAAAGTTTAGATTTGTCTGGATTACTAATTTAAAAAAATTAATAAATAAAATAAAATAAAAATAAAAATAAGACTTTATAGGGTGGAATTAAAAAGGGACATAAAAAACATTAGGCATAAAAAAAATTATAGAAAGGGGAGTTTTAGGAGGAACCAAGTCGGGACCTATCCCATGTTAGAATCGGTTCAATACCAACCAATTCTTAGCTGGATTGGAAATTATTGGGTTTTAAAACACTACTAATTGTTTCAAAACTTGGATCCATAGGTGGATTGGTTACCTTAGATGTCTCCGTCAGATCACTAGATTGTTGTTTTAGATTGGTCTAAATTGATGATCTAAAAAAGATTATATATATATATTATTAATTAAATAAGAGTAATGATCCTATGAGACCCTCCGCCACCCATTTGTGTAGGACTCCAAATGATCATCATTAAAGTTGGCACGGATAGTTAGAAAAGTTATCACATAGATGTGAGACTTGATTTTTCTATAAATCCGTACCAAATTTAATAGTATTCTTTGGAGTCCTATACACATGGGTAGGGGACGGTCCTACAGGATAATTTCTCATTAAATAATTTTTATTTATTTATTTTATTTTTTTTTGACAAAAGTACTAACTTGTATTAATTGTAGAACATTACAAGTCAACAATAATAAAAAGACCAGAAACAATGAATGAATCCAAAGTAGCGCCCTTCTATGTTTTTGGCAACCCTATAAACATGCTGAAAAGTCACATGCCTGTGAAGTTAAATCCACAACATGAAACCACAAAACATGTCGCATCCACGGTACGGTGGTCTCGTTCCTTGTTACACCAATTCACAACATTCATTGAACTCCCTTTTATTATCAACAAATTGCCCAAATATCTCTTCTTCTATATTAACACGCTTTGCAACAAGGCATGAATTTCAGCATCATTGGCCGAGACCACTCCACAGGAACCTGCAAAATAATTAAGTATTTTGCCCATATAGTCTCTACAAATCACCCACTCTTGCCACACTTGGATTTCTCATAGAGGAGCCATCAAAATTCAATTTACATCAACTTTCTATTGGTGATTCCCATCTACTTCTCAGTCAATACATACAAACTTATTTTTTTTGATATTTTTATTAGATTCTCTTATTTTTAAAAAATGAACATTCAAAACTTCAAGTGATTTGAATTTATAAAATAAAAAAAAATTAAAATATAAAATACATTTGTGACTATTGGAATGGCTCAAATTCAATCTAAAGCCATTGGGCTAATATTGTAACTGTTATAAAAAAGCATTTATTTCATACTAAAAATATATCCCATTCAATGTATTAAGGTAAATTTGCTGAGTGTTCTCTCATAATTTTGTTGCTTAGATTAAGAGAAGAGTGTCTCTCTCTAAAGTTGCTTAGATTAAGAATAGTGTCCCTGATAATGTTGTTACATCTTTCATGGAACAAGCAACCAAATCTCCTCTAAAGTTACTTAAAATTGAGATATGCATTGTTTATCCTATCCATTTGAAGTGGTTGAGTTGGGTGGGATCCATTTAGAGAGCCATTTACCAAACCCATTACCGCCAATCACCAAGCACATCCCCCACAATGGAAACTTCAACCTTTTGAAGGTGCTATTTAGGCCACTCGTTTTAGGAGAAAGAAAACAAATGGAGCCTTCCAGAGGGCAAATCATTCAATAAGGAAAAACGATCAGTGTTTCCAATGGAGGACTTTGAAGTCGAAGCTGCTCTCTCTCTCTCTCTCTCTCTCTCTCTCTCTCTCTCTCTCTCTCTACTACTACTACTACGTACTACGTACTACTACTACGTTACTACTACTACGTACGTACTACGTACTACGTACTTA